GTCAATAAAACACAGGTAAACATCTTTCTGGTATTCTCTACTTTCAGCCAAGATCCATCTGACATTAGCAATGATATCTCTCATTCCACGTCCTCTTCTGGATCAGGATGAATTTCAAGAAGTTCGCTGTCAATGTATTGCTGCAAACCTTTTTGAATTGTCTTCAGCAAAATTTTTCTTCTGCGTGGTACTAATGATATTTTTCAATAATTTCTGCATTCTGTTGGATCATCTCTCTTTGGACTGGGCGCATATACGGATCTCTTCTAGTCGATTGGCCAGATAGCTGTCTTCCAAATTTCTTAGCATAGATGAGTGAGCCCTTCCAGTTCTGCATCCATTTGTTGAAATATCTCAGTTGGTATTCTGTCAATTCCTGGAGCCTTGTTCTTCACCAAATCCTTTAGTGCAGCTTGGACTTCTTCCTTCAGTATCATCTCTTGATCATATGCTACCTCCTGAAATGTTTGAACATCAACCAAAAAGATTATTTTTGGTACAGTGACTGTATGTATTCCTTCCTCTTCTTTTGATGCTTCCTGTGTCATTCAATATTTTCCCTGTAGAATCCTTCAGTATTGCGACTCCAGGTTTGAATTTTCTTCAGTTCTTTCAGCTTGAGAAATGCCGAGAGTGTTCTTCCCTCTTGGTGTTTGCACATTTCATTACAATACTTTACTTTGTCTTCTGGAGCTATCATATGAAATCTTCTGTTCAGCTCTTTTACTTCATCATTTCCTCTGTTCTCTTTAGCTACTCTATGTTCAGGAGCAAGTTTCAGAGTCTCTTCTGACATCCAGTTTGGTCTTTTCTTTCTTTCCAGTCTTTTAAATGACCTTTTGCTTTCTTCATGTATGATGTGCTTGATGTCATTCCACAACTCATCTGGTCTTCAGTCATTAGTGTTCAATGCGTCAAATCTTTTATTCAGATGGTCTCTAAATTCAGGTGGGATATACCCAAAGTTGTACTTTGGCTCTCGTGGGCTTGTTTTAATTTTCTTCAATTTCACCTTGAACTTACCTATGAGCAATTGATGGTCTGTTCCGCAGTCGGCCCCTGGCTTTGCTCTTACTGATGATATTGAGCTTCTCCATCGTCTCTTTCTACAGATGTAGTTGATTTGATTCCTGTGTATTCCATCTGGTGAGGTCCAGGTTTATGATGCTCAAAAATGGTATTTCCAATGAATAAATTATTGGTCTTGCAAAATTGTATCATGTGATCTCCCTCATCATTTCTATCACCAAGGCCATATTTTTCAACTATTAATGCTTCTTCTTTGTTTCCAACTTTCGCATTCCAATCACCAGTAATTATTAATGCATCTTGATTGCATGTTTGATCAATTTCAGACCGCAGAAGTTGGTAAAAATCGTCAATTTCTTCATCTTTGGCATTAGTGGCTGGTGCGTAAATTTGAATAATAGTGATTTTAACTGGTCTCCCTTGTAGGTGTATGGATATTTTCCTGTCACAGTCAACATTGTACTTCAGGATAGATCTTGAAATGTACTTTCTGACATTACATGTGATGCTGTTGCTCTGCAATTTGTCATTTTCGGCATAGTAGACAATATGACTATCCAATTCAAAATGGCCAATACCAGTCCATTTCAGTTCACTAACGCTTAGGGTGTCTATCTTCAAACATTCCATTTCATTTTGTCGACTTCCAATCTTCCTAGATTCATACTTCATACATTCCACGTTCTGATTATTAAAGGATGTTTGCAGCTGTTTCTTCTCATTTTGAGTTTTGCCACATTAGCAAATGAAGGTCCCAAAAGCTTTACTCCATCCACATCTTTAAGGTTGACTCTACTGTGAGGTCGCTATGAGTCAGAATAGACTCAACGGCAATGGATTTTTTTTTTCTACTTTGAGGAGGCAGCTCTTCCCCAGTCGTATTTTGAGTGTCTTCCAACCCAAGAGGCTCATCTTCCAGCACTATACCAGACAGTGTTCATCTGCTATTCATAAGATTTTCACTGGTCAATTTTTTTGAAGTAGATCTCCAGGTCCTTCTTCCTAGTCTGTCTTAGTCTGGAAGCTCCACTGAAACCTATCCACCAAGGGTGACCCTGCTAGTATTTGAAATACTCGTGTTATAGCTTCCAGCATCACAGCAGCATGTAAGCCACCACAGTACGACAAACTGACAAACGAGTGGTGGTATATGTAGATGATATATATAATACAGCCCTGGTGGCACAATGGTTAAGCACTCAACTGCTAACTGAAACGTTGGTGGTTCAAACCAACAGCTGCTCTGAGGGAGAAAAGACCTAGCAATCTGCTCCCATAAGAATTACAGCCTAGGAAACCCTATGGGGCAGTTCTTCTCTGTCATATAGGGTCGCTATGAGTCAAAATTGACTCAACGGCACACAACAACAACAATCTTTACAGAAGCACATCATCAGGTCTTTCTCCCCTGGAGCCACTGGGTGAGTTTGAGCCACCAACATTTTAGTTAGAGTTGAGCACTTAACCATCGTACTACCAGGACTCCTTACACTAACCCAGTCTTCTCCCCCCAAACCAAAACCAAACCCATTGCCATCAAGTCAATCCCAACTCATAGCAACCCTATAGGACAGAGTAGAACTGCCCCATAGGGTTTCCAAGGCTGTAAATCTTCATAGAAGCAGACCATCACATCTTTCTCCCACAGAGTAGCTGGTAGGTTTGACCCAATGACCTATTGGTTAACCACCGAACACTTAACCAATGTGTCACCAGGGCTCCCTCTTCTTCTCCCCCAAGGTCTGGATTTTATAGCTCACTTTCTACTTGGCATATTCAACTGAATCTCTAGTAGATAGCCAAATACATGTATAAAATTAAAATCCACCCTGATCTGCTCCATCTACAGCCTTCTCCATCTCAGGTGCTGGCAGCTTCATTCTCTCAGTTTTTCAAGCCAAGCACTTGGCAGCATCCAAACTGTATTCAGAATCCCACCACTTTCACTCCCTCCGCTGCTTACTTCTGTGTTCTGAGACACCATCATCTCTTCCTGGATTATTTCAATAGCTTCTGAACTGGTCTCACTGTGTCAAGCCTTATTCCTACAATCTGTTCTCAGCACAGCAGCTAGGATGCCTCTTTTAAAGTGAAAGTGTTATTAGGTCACTCTTCTGCTTTAATCTTGCAGTGGCCCTGCATTTCATTCAGAGTCCAGCCCAAGTCCTTGTGATGGCCTGCAATGCTCTACGTAATTTTTATGCCTCACTTACCTCTGAGCCCTCATCTCCCATTCCTCTCCCCTTTTTTCTCCTCTGTAGCCACACTGAACTCCTACTGTTTCCCCCACATGCCAGCACACCAGGCATGCTCCCACTTTAGGGTCTTCATTCTATAGCTGGTTCCTCCATATGGGAAGTGTTTTCCCAGATAGCTGCTTGGCCAGCTCCCTCATCTCCTTCCAATTTTGATCAAAATTGCACCCTCTAATGAGCCAATTCTGACCGTCCCCAACACAAAACTCCTGACCCCCGTTCCCTGATTTCCTTTTTTTCCCTCAAACCACTTATTCTAACCCATCATATAATCTATTTACTTTTTATGTTTATTGTTTATTATCTATCTCTCTCCTAGTAGAACGTAAGCTCCATGAGGGCAAGGATTTTTGTTTTGCTCGCTGAAGTATCCCAGACATATACAACAGTGCCCACCCCATAGTAGTCACTATTTATTTATTTAGCTATCTATTTATTTATTTTGATAAATGAATGAACCACTTTATTCTGAACTTTGAGTGAGAACCCATCAGTAGAATAGAGTCCACATATTTTAATATTGGTGTGTGCCTAAACACCCAATTTCAGTTGTACTCCACTTATCTCAGTATGTACTTGTTTGCCTCTTTCCACACATGAAATCTAGATCTCTTTTAAAATAAAAATAATTTTTAATCAGGCAGCATTTCCAGAGAACAGTGTGTTTTGCTTGTCCTAAATTATACCTTTGCATGTATAATACCAACTAAGTAATGAACTGATTTGGTTAATTCACTGCCACTGGGGAGTGCCACATTGCTAAGGAGGCTCCTGCCCATTGTTTTCTTTGCTTCTGGCATTCACGGTGATTTTCAGTCCCATAGAGAAAAAGGGGAGATGGGAAGAGGAATGAAATAAACCAAAATTACTTTATATATGAGCTGTTTGTTTTCCTACTAGACTGTTAAATTGACTCCAGATCCAAAATTGGCAGCGAATGTCACTTATATGACCCTAGAGTGATTCATAGAATTTCATCTGAGATAAAACATACCTTGACAAACACTCAAATAATGTACTTGGGGTCTATCTGGAAAATAGCCATGATGTCAACAGTCAAGTTTTGAAAGGCACATGTGACATGAGTATTAAAATACCTCTACTGACAAGATCAGATTTTTATGGCCACCAGTAATAGAGAATAAAATAAAATAAAATAAAATAAAATCTCTCTGCTTCGTGTTGGGGAATCTAGGTCATTTTTGTGCCAAGATTATTGATTTCTTTGCCACTGATTTTCCTGGAACATTAGGAAACGTTTTCTTTATGCCTGATATGATGTATTCTCAACGTTTCTAATTCCTGTGAAGGATTTGATGAAACTAGAGAAAACGTAGGATGAGAACCTCGTCTAAGTAGTTGAGCCTCAGGTCCAATATAGCAGAAGAAACATAATTGTTCATTTTATATGCAAGCAGAAGTATAAGCAATTCACTTGTTATGATACCAGCATCATTAATAATAAAATGAAGTTTTTAGTTCATATATTTCATGTCTTCCAAAATTATGTTCAAAACGTCTTGACATTTTAATAAACACAAAGCGTAAGGAATACCATTTTTATTCTACAATAATTTCAAATGTAGAGTTAAATAGACTATTTAAGAAAGTACAGAGAACGTCTTTTTTTCTCTCCTTTTTAATACATCATATTTTTATATAAAGGAAAATAATTTTTTTAATATATAAACTTCTGGATTTGATTACTTTCCATAGATACAACACACTCAGGGGAAATTGGCACCAAGAAAAAGGTGAAAAGACTGTTAAGCTTTCAAAGATACTTCCATGCATCAAGGCTGCTTCGTGGAATTATACCACAAGCTCCTCTCCACCTGCTGGATGAAGACTACCTGGGACAAGCGAGGGTGAGCCAGTTACACTTTTGTCTCCTCACAGCAGGACAGTGGCCAAAAGCATGAGCCCCAACCACCTGGGTGTGAAGCCTACTTCTACAATAGAGGAGCTCTGTGACTCTGGGCTAGGTACTCAACAAGGCTGGACTTCTTCCTCACAATATAAAATAAAGTGAATAGAAATACCCACCTCCTAGTGTTGATACAAGGATAAATGAAGTAAAGCATATTTACATGCTTAATATACTCATGCCTAGCACATACTACCTATTTTCATTTTTATAAACACATTCGCACAAGACTAAGTAAAGTAGAATGCTGGACTGGTAGATCACCAATGAGAGTACAACTAAACTTTTTAAGTCATTGAATTATCTTATTGGACTAACTACCCTGAAATGCTCCCAATAACTGTCAGCTGTTTCACTTTGGGCTAATAATATGGTGCATTATCCTTTTTACAGTGTTTTATTAATTCAAATAACTTTTACTAATTTTACAATTATTTGTGCAGTACATCAATCTGGATGGGGTGGAAATTAATGTGTGACACTTTAAAAGAAGTTTTCGTGTTATCTCTAGCCCAAAGTGACAAAGGAATTTAAATTTCAAGACTAAACTGCCCCAGTTTAAACAGAAGTCAAAGTTAGTATCTAATAGTTTATATGCTAAGCAATATTATACTATCTAAATCCTATTAAGAAATATATACTATCATAACAACCAACAACAACCAGTTACCACTGAGTCAATTCTGACTCATGGCAACCCCATGTGTTTCAGAGTAGAGCTATGCTCCATAGGGTTTTCAATGGCTGATTCTTTGGAAGTAGATCACCAGGTCTTTCTTCCAAGGTACCTCTGGGTGGATTCGAACCACCAACCTTTTGTTTAGCTGCCGAACACTTAACCGTTTGCGCCAGCAGCAGGTAATGACAGAAGCACTAATTCCCAGCATCAGATCTACAAAAAGGGGAAAAAATAACAACCCCTAGGCCTGAGATTGAATGTTTGTTTGTTTGCTTGCTTGCTTGTTTGTTTGGAGAAAAGCAAAACTAACCTCCCCTACCACCAGAGGGTGCGTGAGAGAGCACTGCTCTGCCTTTAGGATTGTAAGACATGGGTAAAATGCTCACCCAATCTAGACCTCAGAAATAACCTGCTATCTCTTCATTTTCACGCAAAGTGAAGGCCTTTCTGTGTGATGCCAAGGACTTTGGATATTATGGTAGGACACAGGGAAACCATTCAGAGGCAGGAAAAGGTCTTTTCTCGAGTCAATAACTATGGGAAGAAAGGAAGGCGCAGTAACAGGAACTATAATGGGGTAGAATCAACAACTGGAACTTTATGTCTAAAACTAAGAGTTAATATCACCTAATTCTAAGAATGGTGTATCTAAAAAAAATAAGAAGAAGAAGATAATAAACCTGCATTGGACAGGAGGTCTTTATTCTATATTTTCTATTGCCCACCTTTCTATTTCCTGTGTGTTACAGTGGTTAATTACGAATTCAGTCCACACAGAGCACATTACTGTGGTCAGCAATCATTTTGACCTCTTTTTTTTACATTTTGAGAAAACCTCCTTCCTTAAGTGGATAGCAGTTTGTGACAGAGACTTTACTAACCTAACATGTTCATGCTTACTGTGTACTTTCCATTCTAAGTACTTTCCATGTATTACCTTATTTAATCCTCACAACAACCCCCTCAGTAGATAATATTATCAGCTGTATTGTCCAGATTAGGAAACTGAGGGTACAGGAAGGTTAAGGAACTTGCCCAAGATCCCTCAGTTAGTAAAAGGCATGGCTGGCATTGGACCAGGCGATCTAATTCTAGAGCTCATACCCTTATACACTGGTGTTATTAAGATTTGTTTTGCTATAACCAATAGTACGTAGAGAGTAGTATGCTACTATTTTCAACTTTCTGATTGTTTAATTCACTGTGTCTCAAAGTCAATGTTTGTGTCTCCGATATGATTCATTTGAGTGCCGTTGTCTGTTTGCCTTTTCAGCATATGCTCTCCAAAGTGGGAATGTGGGATTTTGACATTTTCTTGTTTGATCGCTTGACAAATGGTAAGTCACCCAAAAGAACTCTCTCCCTAAAATACACACCATAAAGTGGGATTAATTTCATGAAAAACAAAATTTATTTTTAAACACTCTGTTATTCTCTCTTTCTTCTTCCTCCTCTTTCATAAATCTAAAGTCAATTTGAAAAGCACCAGGGCAAAGGAAAGTTAATTCTAGTGAAGACTGAAGACTGAATTTGGCCTTAGAATCTTAAGGCAGTTTCCTTCTGACCGTGATGATCCCAAAGGAATTTAAAACCACAGATTTGATTCTTTCCTTGCAGAATACTCTGGCCACATCCAAAAGTAGGAAGTTCATTGTTGGTCAATGAAAACTAGGAACACAAGAGCACATCTGATTGGCCCTGACTCTTGCAAGGCGGAGAGCTGGTGCACTTTATTTATTGAGCTGAATCAGCCCCGTTGCAGGTATCATTCAGATACATTTGGCATCAGAGGAAAATGAACATGGAGGAGGGAGTGTAAAAGCTTAGGCTGCAGTGAAAGGAAAAAGTAGACATTCGCACTAGTTTTGCTTTTTAAATTTTTGTGTCTCTAGAGGCTTTCTTTCAGAAAATAATAAAATCGTATTATATTTGTATCTGCCCATTAAACGAAAGCTGATGAGTTTAGGAAACCAATGAAAGAGATTACATTTAATGCTGAGCTTTTTATGTCCCACCATCTACCAGACTTTGCTTTAAATCATTATAGATGGTTTTCTACCATTCTATTATTTAGCAAATAATGTGTGTTTGAGAGAGATACAGCCTAAGACTAAGAAACATAGCTTTACACTGTGGAAAGCCAACTAGACCACATAGGGATTGACTTCATAATCTTACTTTTCACTTTGCTCAAATCAACTGGTAAATGAAATTAACTGTTAACCAAATGAACTTGTTAAATGATATTTGCTAAACAAGAATATTATCATGGCTCTCATACAAATATAAAATGAACATATGTCAAAGATTTTTACTTAATTATTTAGAGATCCAGTAAGATGCTACAACAGGTTCAAAGGTGAATTCAAAGAACTGCAAATACGTAAGCAATAAGAAATGCGGAAATGAATTTGTAAGTAGCTGCAAAACACTGATGGGGTGGGAATTGATTATATTTCCACCTGACTAAATTTGTTTGCATGTTCATGGACATGAATCGATTTAGAGAGTTGTGAAGTAGCTCATAGACAATGAAATTTGCAGAGACCCATAGAATCAGGTAACCTGGAAGAGTATGCTTAGTCAACATCTAGTTTTCCATTAAAGACATCCAGTCATCTGTCTGGCCCACTTCCAAGTCTTCATAAACTCTCTAATGCTTTTTAAGTTCAAAATCATTATTCTTAAATAAACAGCATTTCTTGAACACTCCCAAGTTATTACAGCTTCAGTTTTGCATCACTGTAGGCTTGATTATAAAATATCTTATGGTCAAATCTCTACATAGGTAATTTTTTCATCGGAAAAATAGACTATGAAATTTAGCAATGTGAATATTAAGCAATGTGGTGGCTTAGAAACCCCTGTAAATGTAAGAAACGATTAAAAATGACTTAAGGAACATCTCAAGTCACTGTTAAGTTATATTGAATGTATGTGTATGTATAATGCACACACACGTGTGCATATATATATATACATATATATATATGTATATTCTGTATATACCCTGACACCTCAGTAGTAGGCAGACTCCTTATAATTCTTCAGTATAAGGAGAATGTCTGAGCTGACTTTACTTATACAAAAAAAGAGAAAACCTAGGACCAGATTATAGTAATAATATCATCTATATTTGAATAATTTCAAATCCAAAGGGGGAAAAAATAATTATATCAGAGAAGCTTCATTACAGAATCGTATTGCCAATCTTGATATTTTAATAGTGATGAAAATGAGTTAATGCAGGTGACTGTTTTCCTATAGGGAACAGCTTGGTAACACTGCTGTGCCACCTCTTCAACACCCACGGGCTCATTCACCACTTCAAGTTAGATATGGTGACCTTACACAGGTTTTTAGGTAAGTTCCTTCTTCCATATCCCTACTCCCTCCCATGAAGAATGGCAGCCCATCATACTCTTTTAATATAAAGCTACAGGGACCATAGCATGGTGGATGAAGACCTCAAATTAATCTTAAATTATTTCATCTTGATTTTAAAACATGGCTTTCCTATTTTAAATCACTGAAAAATTGATTGCTTACAATAGAAGAAGGCTATGTATACAAGAAAAACTAGAGCATACAACTAGTCCCATATTTACAAAACCCCAGCAGGATATGCCTCAAATAATTCTCATCTGAACATGAGTTGTTGAAAATCTTCAATAAAATTTTATTATAAATAATAACCACCATTAGTGTAGCAACCTCTATGCGTAGAGTATTTTCAGTATGTTATTTCTAGCTGGAGTCCCTGAGTGGTACAAATAGTTAATGTGCTTGGCTGCTATCTGAAAGGTTGGTGGATTGAGTCCACCCAGAGGGACCTTGGAAGAAAGGTCTAGTGATCTACTTCTGAAAAATCAGCCACTGAAAACCCTATGGAGCACAGTTCTGCTCTGACACACATGGGGTTGCCATGAGTCGGAATCGACTCAACAGCGACTGGTTTGGGTTTTTTGCTTTGTTTCTAGCTGTTCCAACAGCCCTTCAAGTTGGACATTTTATCACCAGTTAGCCCACAGTTAAGGAAAGGTACAAAGAAGTTGTGTAACACGCCCAAGATCACACAGCTAATAAGCCTCAATTATAGCCCAGGTCTGTCTGACTTGAAAGTCCGCCATCTTTCCACTCCATTCCACCATCACTCCATCAAATGGCAGCACCAGTATCTTATTTGACTTTGCGTACATTCTTATTCATCTGCCAGGGAATGATCCAGGGCACATTTTTAATTACCAAATGGCTTCCCTCTGCCACTTAGCATATTTTTGCTTCTTTAACACGGCTGTGCTTTGAATTTGGAAGCTCACTTAATGCCATCATCAGGAAAATAACAGTTACGATGATAACAACAGCAGCAACAACAACCAGGCTTATATGGTGCTTACAAATGCTGGGAACTCCTCTAAGGACTTACATATATTAGCATATTTAATCCTTACAGCAACCATATGGGTTCAAACTTATTACTATCCCCATTTTATAGTGAGGGATACTGAGGAAACTTGCCGTTAAGTAACTTGCCCAACACAGATAAGTGATAAAGCCAGTATTTACAAATAATTGCAAAATAAACCCGCTGAATAAAAGGGATCTGAGACAGAACAGAAATATTTTAGACTAACCACAGCATGACTTTTTTCCAGAAACACAAATAACCTCAAGTTGATTATACTTAGATTTAGCAGACTGATGGCCATGAATGGGACTAATTTTGGTTTGTCTTAAGAGGGAGAGGAGTCCCTGGGTGGTGCAAACAGTTAATGCACTCGGCTGCTAACTGAAAGGTTTGAGGTTCAAGTCCACCCAGAGGCACTGTGGAAGAAAGGCCTGTTGATCTACTTCCGAAATATCAGCCACTGAAAATCCTATGGAGCATAGTTCTACTCTAACACCCATGGGGTCGTCATGAATCAGGGTTGCCATGAGTCAGGGTCGACTCAACAGCAACTGATAAAGAGGAAAAACACAGATACTTTGGACACATGTATACCCAGACAACATGTAAAGAATGCAAAAATTTGATGAGCAAAATTAACACCAGAATCCAGAGCCAACTGCATAGCATGAGCTGAGCGAATATGGCCCCAGTTACAAATCTGGATATTCTAAACACACTGACTGCAATATATTGCATCCTAAGCACTGCATTTGTTACTTACTAGTGGCTAGTGGCTTCTGTAAACAGCAAACCAAAGTTGTCTTTATTATGTCTGCACTTGGTTCCAAGAGTACTTTTTGCCTTGCAATAGATTGAAGGGACGTGATAGATGATAACTTAACCTGAATATGGTAGAAACAATCCAAAACGCCTTAGCTGGATCAGTGCAGTACTTTGAATTCCTGCCTGAGGAAGCCCCAGATTTATTTTGATCAGTATTCGTTAATCCAATACTCATCAATCCAGTGATTTGTTAAATCAGTCTTTGAATATCAGTAGTCTGATGCTACTGGGGCTCTTTGAAAGGAAACCTTATTTATAGCATATTATTCATAAATTGCAGCAAACTTAAATAATTAGCCTATAGTGTGAAATAAAGTTCTCCTTTTTCTACATATTTATTTTCTCTCTGAATGCAAGCCTTCATGAATGCCAAAAGGGGCGATTTATGAAGGGGATGAGGAATCCCAAGGGCCTCATAAAACCTTTGCGTCTTTCTCCCCTCTGCTCTCCCCCTCCTCTCCACTAAAAACAGCCTAGTAGAACTGCCAAGCTTGCAAGCTATGTTCCTTTTTAAAGGGTCTCCAGGCTACATATTTGGGAGGCACTGATCTTTTTAAGCAAAAATCACCCTCAATAAATGTGAGCTCGTATGCCCTTCATTTTTTGGTTTTAGCTGATTAGGTTATCCGTTTGCCTCCTAGTCATGGTTCAAGAAGATTACCACAGCCAAAACCCATATCATAATGCTGTCCATGCAGCAGATGTCACTCAGGCCATGCACTGCTACCTGAAGGAGCCAAAGGTAAGGCAAGGCCCAGCCGCCTCCTCAGCCATCTGGAAATGCCAAGAAAACTATCTGTTGGGCTCCCAAATCACTCATCATATCAGTGTAACATTATTATGGGCCACTCATAATATGAATGCAAGTTATTTATGTTAAAGTTCTAGTATCAACTCTAAATATTATATAATACTTTACGAAAGCGGATGTAAATCTTCTGAGGTTTTCTTTCATATTCTTTCATTTTTTTCAAGGCTGCATTAGGACAAATACAACCCTCTCTGTGACAATCTACATCTTAGATGTCTTCAACAGTCCCAAGAACTGGCTGGGTGCCTTAGACCTCTGCCACAGATGGCACCAGCCCTGAATTTTATTGTGAAAAATTTCCCACCTCATCATTTTTGATTGTCACATCAAATCAAAACTCAAGCTCCATTTACTACAGAACCAGCTGACTCAGGGACCAGGAGAATCATGAACATCAAAGACCTGATACAATAAACCAATCAACATTAAAAATTAAAAGCATAATAATCTCTCAAAATCTAGGCAGTTCTTAGCTGCACAAAACTTGGCTGGGATAACATGTAGGATGAGTTTTATTAAGATTTTTGAAAAATGACATTCCCAGTCCAAGACTATTTAGTTCAGTCAATTCTAAATCAACCACTGAATACACAGATGCCAGACATGCATTCTCAGGCCAGAGCTGGGTAGATGCTTCATTCCTGTAAAATATCCCAATGGTATTTTTTAATCTCTAAGTTGTCTGGATGTTATATCACACAGTCATGTTTTTAAATTAGTACTGGATTTCTGTCTCCCTGTTTGTTTTCCTAGCTAACCAAAAAAAAATCACAAATTCTCACATATCCCCCCACTATTAATTACACACTGAAGAAATAGGCAGATTTTACAATTCGGTCCACTCTGATTTCCTATTTAAAGAAGTGGAAATGATATATTGGATCATTGAAATACAAAAATAATTTTTTTAAGTGTGCCATCACTTAAGGAGCCCTGGTGGTGGAGTGGTTAAGCGCACAGCTGCTAACCAAAAGGTCGGCAGTTTGAACCCTCTAGCCACTTTGCTGGAGAAAGATGTGGCAGTCTGCTTCTGTAAAGATTACAGTCTTGGAAACCCTCTGGTGCAGTTCTACTCTGTCTTACAGGGTCACATTGAGTCAGAATGAATGAATCCATCACTTTGGCTTCAGCTTTTCCCTTTATTTATAACTTTGTCTGGGAGCAAGACTGATTTCAGACTCTGCCTTCTCCCGGCCCACCAGGTTGTAGTGTCGCCAACAAGCAATACCATTACTGCAACAAAACAAGACAGAATGGCAGTAGGAAGAGGAGAATACCTGAATGATCTCTACCACTTGAATTTACTATACTTTCCACATAGTCTTTTCTTTTTTCTTACAATTCCACGTGACTGTCATTTTACTGAATGTCTCAAAGGGTGAAAGTCTAGCTGATGGGCCTCAATAATGCCACGATGATTCATTTGGTTTGATTTTGCCAAAACGAATGCTAACCTATTTGTGGAAACACACCAATCAATCTCCCATTCTGACTTTTGAACAGCTCGCCAGCTTCCTCACGCCTCTGGACATCATGCTTGGACTGCTGGCTGCAGCAGCACACGATGTTGACCACCCTGGAGTGAACCAGCCATTTTTGATCAAAACTAACCACCACCTTGCCAGCCTATATCAGGTAAGGAAGCCCAACACAAAACCAGAGTACAGTAAATGACCTTGGGCCTAGTGCTTGAGCCTGAATCTTACCCTTGGAGTTAGCCTTCTTTCAGGTTCAGCCTCAATGATGGGGACCATATCTGAAGAGCACAGATTAGACATAGGTCCAGGATGTCCCCCAAGGGAGATCAAGTTGATTTTCAGGGATACCCTAGGAATTCAGCTTGCTCCAAAGCAGGCTTGAAATTGTCCTCAGTCAAACAGGATCCCTGACCATACTCTTTGTTGGCCTGAGAATATCTCAGTCTCGATGGAACCTATCTTGCATATAATGACCAGTTGAAGCCAGCCCTTGCAGGGTATCTATAGATGATATTTCCTGGGCACAGTCTTAATTCAGACATGTCTTTGGTGCCATTTCTGAACTATATTGGCCTTTGAGTCAGAGTTATGTTATCAAAAGCAATAGGCATACTTCTTTGCTATAAAATAGTTCAACAGCATGAATAGGTTGACCTGAAGAATTCTTAACTACAATATAGCTTCCAATATTAAACCCTATATCATAAATGAATGATTCTCAGAATTTTTAATGTGGTTCTTTGAAGACCTTCAGTTGTCATTAACAAAATCATTTCATAAAAACCAAACTCAAACCCATTGCCGTCAAGTCCATTCCGACTCATAGCGACCCTATAGGACAGAGTAGAACTGTCCTGCAGTGTTTCCAAGGCTGTAAATCTTTACGAAAGCAGACTGCCACATCTTTCTCCCACAGAGTGGCTGGTTGGTTCAAACCACTGACCTTTCAGTTAGCAGCCAAGAGCTTAGCCACTGTACCACCAGGGCTCTTTCACTTCATGCATGGGAATTATTAATCTCAATTTTAGTAGATCTCTTGAGGAAATTTAGTGCTGAAAAAATTCCTGATGGAGCCTCATAAATCGATTGCATTTTCCAAGGTTTTGCAGTTTGAGGATGCATTTATTTCCAATAAAGTACAATTGGAACATCATGAAAAGCCTTTCTCCATCCAGGTGATTAGCTTTTTTGGCACAGGTAGGAACTGGCATTCTAATGCTTATGGGTCCACCTGGCATATGTTTCGGCACCGGGCTCCCTCGGGCTGGCTGCCAGCACCTGGAGCTAGGATAGTTACAGCCACGTCGAGGGGACAGGAAGAGAGAACTAAGAAAGCATTTTGGTGAAGAGCGAAAATTTAAACAGAGTAAAATAAAAACTAAAACTACATTTTCTAAGCCGTTTTAGAAGCTAAATTCATTGCTTAAGAAAATCACGGTCATTTAACTAGAGGGAAAAGAAATGACCATCCTGAGAATCCCCAAGTATGTTTTCTATTCCTGTCAATTCTGAGCTTTTCAAATGTTTTATCAGACAAAGGAAATCAATCGACAAGGTTGGCTACTTAATCCATTCCTATATAATGTACGTGATTATACAATTCTAATTTCTCATCATTAAATAAAGCATATCAATGGAGTTTAAGAGAATACATACTCCTGCAAACTGATTTGTACATAAAAATGAAAGTCATAAAATCGTACTTTGGCAAGTATCATATAAACAATGGGTCATGAATTCTCATTTATACAGGAAGTCAGAAGGAAATATACCAGATGCTAAAGTAAAGATATAAAAACAAGAAAATAAGTGTAGAATTTAATTAATAGTGAAAAATTAAATACTCACTGCTAATTAACAGAAATTAACTCTCAAAACATACTCTAATCTACCTTGTTCAGATACTGAAGATTTTCTCAAAAAAATGGGAGACTTTCTTACTCAAAGTTTTGAAATACCTATCATTTTTAACAATTTCTATGTTAATCTATTTATTAAAAATAAATATTCCAATACAAAATTCTGTTACATTTTCAATGCAACATATCATCTTGTATATGAATATACAAGTACAAAGATGAATAAAACACCTCAGCCCTCAAACATTTGCTCAAACTCAGATTTAAAATCATAGACATAAACATACACATGTAGACACATTTTTTTTAATTTACATACTATGTATGTATGTGAGTATATATGTGTAAGTGCGTGTGTATCTTTGAAGAGTAAATACCTGTGCTATTCTTTGTACCCAAAGATGTTACTACAATATAAAACCAAAAAAACCCTGTTGCCATCAAGTCGATTCCAACTCATAGCAACCATATAGGACAGAGTAGAATTGCCCCATAGGGTTTCCAAGGAGCACCTGGTAGATGCAAACTGCCTACCTTTTGGTTAGCACCCAAACTCTTAACCACTATGCCACCAGGGTTTCCTACTACAGTATAGTGGGCTATTATTTTCCAGCAATGAACTTCTCCATCTGAAACATCTGGCCCAATCCTTGGTAAGAAAGAGAGGCATCCTTTTGATAATGACTAGGGAGAAGTTGGGACCTAGAAGTCAAAAACCACATTCAAGATGCTATCTTCATCAGTCCTCTGCTCAGCTGGTCTAACAGTCTCTTAGAGGTCAGAGATTCATGTCTTAAATTTTAAGGAGAGTGCTAAAGGCATACCAATATCACATAGCATCATAAAGAGACTTTCCATGTCCTAGAGCTGGCTAGGATAGAAGCTGAAACTTTTATCAGCCAGATTAGAACTTTACATATTAAAAGTAAAAATTATTGCAAGGACTTGAAAATAATATGAGATTTATTTCAATTCTGTTCAAAAAAATTTACAATGCCTTTATACTTGGCTATATACCATTGTTTATATAAAAAAAAACACTAGTATGATAAAGAATTCTTGTAAAAGTCAGTTCAACAAATTATATAACATTTTATTCAGCACTTAAACCTGTTACGGTGGCGTTTACTCCGACTCACAGCAACCCATGTGTATTAGAGTTGAACTGTGCTCCATAGGGTTTTCAATGTCTGATTTTTCAGAAGTAGATCACCATGCTTTCTTCTGAAGTACCGCTGGGTAGACTCAAACCACCAACCCTTTAGTTAGCAGCCAAGCACATCAGCTGTTTGTGCCACCCAGGGGGTCAACACTTAACTGTGATCCAAACACAGTGTTAAATGCTGCCTATGTACTATATTATTTAATCTTCACAATAGCCCAATGAGATGGCATTTTTATTACATATATTTTCCAGAGAGATGAAAATTGATACTTGGGAAATTCAAGTGGATTCCCTGAAAAAAACAGCTAGTTAATGACAGAGCCGGGATTAGAACTCAAGTTGTTTGTCTCCAGAGCCAAAGTGCCTAAGCACTATCTGTACTGCCTCTAAAACTCAGACTGATCACCTACTGTGTGCAAAGAACCAGTGCCCCTCCTTCAAGTGCCCCTATTCTAGGGAGGAAGACTGAGGATTACACCCAAGTGACTTACAATGGGAGAGTTTGATAATCACTCTAAAGTGTGTAACTACAAACAAAATATGATGGAGGCCAGAGGAAGAAGAGAAATGGATTCTGCAGATGATTTCTAAACAAAACCTCCAGGAGGAGGAATGTGCCTTGAAGTGTGAGTAGCATTTTGAGTAGCAGGGATGAAAGGAGGGCAGCATGAGCTGCTGGCACTTTTGGGATTGAAATCTATTTTCAATTGTTATCTCAGAATAACTGAAAATGGAATATCCCTACAGCCTTGAGCTCAGCATAGTCCTGACATCCACAGCCCCTGCTCTCAGATGAGTATCTTGGGAAGACTAAGGTTAAGTATGTGTTCTCACTTTTGTAGAAACCATAGATTAGAGAGCCAGGACATGACCTGGGTCAGAAAATCTTCACTCTGCATTAAGCTGTAGATGAAGAAGTGGCGTAACCCTACAGGTTTTCAAATTCAAGAAACAAAAATATCATGTTGCGTAATATATAAACTGAGGAAGACTGCTCACAACACATGATATTTTAAAATCTTTGGAAATGTAACCTTTTAGCCTACCAAGAGACTGTGTGGATTGAGACATGAGTAGGTTTTCAGAAACCCATATGTAAATTTTCAGATGTGCCTATGCAAATTTTTCTAGGGAAAGGATCCATAATTTACTTTCATCAGATTTTAAAGTAGATTATAGATTCAGAAAATGTTAAGAAGCATGGTGTTGAGTAAAAAAAAAAAAAAACACACACACACAAATATAAAATACATTCCCACACACAGATTTAGTCAACATGCACGCAGTAGAAAAGATGTGCCAGGAACATGAGGCTTTGTAAACACCCTGTGCGTGACTTTGCTACAATCCAGACTTACTATAAATGAGATTAAATGGAAGAGGGCTTCCTCTCTGTCCTTTTGTTAGCTGTGCCCTTTTAGTAGTAATAAATAAGAAGATCACTGCATAACGCCCAGCGTGTGCTTTTTCCCTGAGATAAAGCAGGTGGAGTGAGGGCCAGGTCAGAGGGTTCCCTCCCATTGTCTGCCGTCTGAGCTGGGCTCTTGATTGAACTGCCAACCAAGTTCAACATGAAGGCATTGAAGGCACTTCCACCAGGCACCTCTCTCATCAGACTGGAAGCAGTCCAGGCATCTAGGGGTACAGTGAGGGAAAGCAGCATGTAGGAGATAGAACGAAGAATTTTATTTTCTTCCACCCTCCAGCACACCACCCCCGCCCCAGCACCACCACACACACACACACACACACACACACACACACACACACACACACACAAATTTAAGGGTGGGATCAGCAATTGGACAAAGTAAGCTTTAAATCAGATGCAATATTGGTCATTAGAATCGTAAAAGGAATCACCCTCAGTTAGATTTAAAATTAATTTCCTTTGAAAAGAGACCAGCTACTTATTAGCTAGTGACAGAGCCACTTATATGAATAAAATAATGAATAATAAATCGTTCTGTGAAATGTATTTATTACATTCTATGATACCTTGCAAAAATTTACAATCATTTTTCTTAGTCACTTATCATGAGCACTTAGCAGAGGCCAGCATGTTCAACCATTTTTTATTCTTAATGACTCTGAAACATAAACATAAAGTTCATAGAGCCAAGAGAAATATTC